GACTCCCATTATGCCTATGTTGGTACATTTGATGGTATCCCCACAAGTCTTTGAAATTTTCGTTATTTTTTTTCCCTCTAACTGGATAATCTCAATTGATCAATTGTTAGGTTTACCCAATCTTTCTTCTGTCTGCTCAAATGTACTGTTGAACCCATCTGTTGAAAGTTTTGTTTCACAGTAATGTACTTTTCAACTCCTAAACTTTTTTCTTTCTTCTTTATAATTTTTATCTCATTACTGATATTCTCGATTTGATGAGACACTGTTCTCAAACTTTCTCTTAGTTTTTTAGATATGGCTTCCTTTCGTTCTTTGAACACATTTAAAATAGCTTATTTAAAGTTTCTGTCAAATATATCCAAACTTTGGACCTGCTTGGGACAGTTTCTATTGATTGCTTCCCCACCCTGTATATGAGCCACAATTTATTTCTGTGTATGTCTTACAACATTCTGTTGAAAACTAGACATTTTAAATAATATAATGTTGCAACTCCAAAATCAGATATTCTCTTCTCCTCAGGGCTTGTTGTTGCTATTTTTTGTTGTTGTCTAGTGACTTTTTTGAACTATTTTTGTGAAGTCTGTATTCTTTGCTGTATATGGCTACTAAAGTCTCTGCTTCATTAGCTTAGTGGTACACTAATAACCGGACAAAGATTTCCTTAATGCTTGCAATTGATATTTCTCTCATTTTGCTGAGAGTCTGTATGTGTGTTGGGGTACAGCTTCAACACTTGGCCAGGAAGTTGACAATTCCACATCAGCCTTCACTTCCTGCTTATGCAGAGCCCCCAAAGTCAACCAGAAGTGAGAGTTTAGGGCCTTCTCGGCACTTTCCTGAACATGCACATAGCCCTGTCATTCATGTGACTTTTCCTTAATTCCAGGAAATTTGTCAAAACTTATCAAATTCCCTGAAGATACTGAATTTTCCAGATTTCCTTTTAATTTGATTAACTTCTTGTTTTCCCCAACTGTTATTCACTGCCTCAGGCAGCTGTGATGTTAACAATTGCCTCTAATTGATTTCCAAAAGTGATCTGAGGAAAAACGCTTTTCACACTGGGAAAGCTCTTAGTCAAGTTAGATAAGGACAGAATTGCCATGGGGTCTTCCAGTGAACTACCATACTGGCCAAATAGTGATAATTCTCGGGGAATGTGTCTTTGAATAAGCTCCAACCCTGTTCTGGCCCCTCCAGTGTCTGCCAGGCTGCAGGTTTTCATCATTACTGTGGGTTGTTGATTTTCAAGACACCATGGATTTGGGGAGTGGGGGATGAAAATAGGACAAGTTAGCATGTCACAAAGATACTGTTCTTACCAAGATTCAGCCATTTTTAATAAATAACATTCCCTGGATTGCTGTAAACTTTTGGTTAATTCCACAGTTCTGAAACACTGATTCTGACAATATGGACAGTTTTCTCATTGTTTTTAATGGAGAAAAAGAATTTCTGGATGTTCTTACTCAGCCATTTTTGCTGACATTATCCCAGGTAACTTGCAAACTTAGTTTTGAGACCATATGCCCTCAGGCTAAAGAAAAAAGAACTCTAAACATAAATTAAAGTTTGGTTAGTAGACTTGTATTTTGCAAAGGCATCAGTCAGCAACTCTGAAGTTAACTTCTGCGTACTCTGGGGTTGAGAAAATAAGTAAATATATTGTGGAAAGTAAGAAACCACCTTCCTCACTATTACAGAAAGGATTTACATGCCAAAAGGACAGAGGAGACAGCTTGAGGGGGCTTCCACTAACCAAATTAAGGATAATTTGAGCATGAAAATAAAGAACTTGTATTTCCCATCACTATAAGATAACAGGGATTAGATCTGTTCTTCTATATTAAACAACTAGAAAACTGGACAAAGTGGATGAAACAAAGGTTTCAGACAATGGACAAAAAGCAGTACAGGATATTAATACCTGAGAGAAAGAACTCAAATGAGTTGAGTGCTATAAGTACACCAGTTCACTGTTTGAGGAGTTTCCAAATTACAGTGCAGGGGGAAGGAAATCCAAAATAGCCCAATGGCCTTTCTGAAGAGACAGTTCAAAGTTTAGATAGGTTAATGTGACTAGAATTTGTGAGGTAAAATAATAGAGGGGAGGGCTTCCATGGTGGCGCAGTGGTTGAGAGTCCGCCTGCCAATGCAGGGGACGCGGGTTCATGCCCTGGTCCGGGAAGATCCCACATGCCGCAGAGCAGCTGGGCCCGTGAGCCATGGCCGCTGAGGCTGCACGTCCAGAGCCTGTGTTCTGCAACGGGAGAAGCCACGGCAGTGAGAGGCCCATGTACCACAAAAAAAAAAAAAAAAAAAAAAATAGAGAAGGAGATGCACAGAAGAGGTAAAAGTGCTCTGTACAATGGTCCCCTCAAGTCAACTGTATTATACTGATCTGTGCAATGTATATAAAGAATCTAACAAGGCCAGGGGGAAAAAGTCACTAGAAAAGAGTTAGTGGAAACATCCTAGGAGCTAACACAGGTCCAGGTACAGTTTGTGTTCTCACCAGACACAATAGAAAAATTTCCTAACAAAGAATTAGGCAGAGTTCTTAGAATTGTAATGCCTCAGTAGTGGCGCCAAATGAGTCCTAGACCAAGATTTCACAACCTTAGTACTACTGAAATTCTGGGCACGAGAATTCTTTGTTGTATATATTGTAGAATATTGAGCAGCATCTCTGGCCTATATCCACTAGATGCAACATCCTTCTCCCCAGCTGTGACATTGAAAATATCTCTAGACATTGCCAAATATACTTTGTGGGTAAAAACTGTCCCAAGTTGGGAACTGCTCCAGACAAGATCATTAAAACAGCTATGAATGTTCTGTATGTTCCAGGAAGCACAGAAAAACATGGACATGATACAAAGACAAGTGGAATATTACAGCAAAATCAATAACCATGTACTATACGGTTAAATGTAGAAGCAAAAAGTATATAAACAATAGCACAAAAGCTGGGGGGAAAAACTGAAGTGTACTGTAGTAAGGTACTTGGACCATATGTAAAGTGGTATAAATACTACCTGAGGTCACACTGTGATAAATTAAACATGTACACTACAGTAAACTTCATAAGCCAATAATAGATAAAATGAAGTAATAAAAAATACCTTATTAATAAAAAATAAATAGAAAAGTAGAAAAAAGAGGTCTCCATGAGATAATACTGAAATACATTTAAAAACTCAATAAACAGGAGAAAATGGAAGACTCTTCCTTATTCTAAAAAGCCATCTAAAAAGTGTAGAAAAAAGATGAAATAAAAAAAAATCATCATTTACAGTTACTATAGCAATAGTTGTTTCAGGTGAGAATTATGAATGAATGTTAAAACTAGTGCATGAAAGTTTCAGGACAGAATTAAACATAGTCTCAAAGTATCTCCTCACAAGATAATTATTAATTATAAACAGAAAAACAGTAACTTTGCAGTGGAGAAACCTTATAGATACCACTTGAAACAAGTAAGTAAAGTTAATACTACCAGTAGTGGGCCAGCCATATCAACATCGTCACCTAACTCCAGATATGATGCACTAGGACAAATACAACATTCCTTCTCTAACACTCCTGCCAAAAGTGCAGAGCTTGAATTTGATAATGGAAATATTAGACAAACCCAAATAAAGGGACACTGCAAAATAGATCTGTACTTTTGAAAAATGTCAATGTCATGAAATCCTCTGACTGAGGTACTGTTCTCAACCAAAGAGAGATGACAAGTGAATGTAATGTGACAACTGTATGTAAGGCATGATGTTGCACTTTCTTTTGCTGTAAAAAGACCCTGGGAAATTGGCAAAATCTGAATATTTGATAATTGGAGTGTGGTAATACAAAAGAATAGAGAATGACTTTGTTTTTAAAGAGAATATAAAGGGGAGAGAGAACAAAGATGGAAATGATAAAAGGGTGAGAGGTAGAGAGTTGTTTTTAAAGAGAGAATATAAAGGGGAGAGAGAAAAAGATGGAAATGATAAAAGGGTGAGAGGTAGAGAGTAGGTAGAGAGGGAGAGAGGGATGAAGTGAAGAAAAGAGACAAGAGAGAAAGGAAGAAAGATAAAAGGAAGAAGAGAAAGGGGAAAAGGAAGGAAAAAAGGAGAGGAGAGAAGGGAGGATGACAGGCAAGGATAAAGTAAATACAGGAAAATGTTAATATTTGGGAAATTTGGGTGAAGGATATTGTGTAGTAAAGGACCTGGCCTTGCCCAAAGAGAGAAAGTGCCTTTGGCTTCAGCTTTGTGGATACACTCTATGTCATACCTGATAGAAGTGTCTTTGTTTAGGGCAGGAGCTGGCTGCACTAAAAAAGACCTACCATGTAATTTAGGATGGGGACTTCGGTATTCTTAATCCATCTGCAACAATCACGCTGGCAGTCAACTGATCACGTCTTCATATCGAAGCCACAATAAAAATTCAGGACACTAAAGCTCAAGTGAGTTTCTCTGATTGCCAATACTCTGTGCATATTGATGCCACGATGGTAATGCAACCTGAGGATAACAGAAACTTTGCTTTTAGAACCCTCACAGACTTTGCCCTAAGCATCCTCTTCCTTTGGCTGGTTATATCTGTACCCTTTCCCTGTAATAAACTATAACTGGGAATATAATAGGTTTCAGTGAGTTCTGCAAGCAAATTTTTGAACCTGAGTGTATTTGGCGAACCCTCCCCTGCAATCTCCAAACCTGCAGCAGGTGTCAGAAGTTGAGAGTGGTCTTGTATGGGTTCTTTCTTCTAACTTTGTAGGCAAACCGTAATTCCTTGAAGTTGGGGTTAGATGTCTTGGGCTGACAGACAGTGCTCTCAACCTCACAGTTTGGCTAAATCTGGGTAGGGATAGAGACATTATTTTTTAACTTTTCCTGTAGTAATTCTTTATAATTAAAATTTCAATTGAAATTAATTTCAATTTGACATAATTGGAATTATGTAAAAATAAAAATTTAAAAAAGGAGAAAAAAACAAATTTTGCATTTAATACAGCAAAAATAATTTTCTTTCTCTATGATCTCTTGAATTCTATTGCTCTAGTTATCTAAATTCTTAAGCTCTTGAAAAAGATAAAAATGACTTTCCAGAGCTTCTGAATTCCTGTTAACCAGAAGGTTTTTTTCTGTCATTAACAGCACCAATGCATAGAAAACAGAATTTAGTTAGTGTTACTTAGTTAACCAAGAACCTTAATTTCTCAGAGCAGCAAAAAGTGAAATATTTGAAGGGATTTTTAAAATCCTGTTTTCCTTTTAAATAACAGTACTATGAAGTATAAAACAGTCCCTTCTTCAGTGAGTTATCTCATAACCTCTGCTCAGCTATCAGTACAAATCCTCCTTCAATCACATCTCCTTCAGAATTTGTTCTTACAAATTCCAATCTATGATTCCTCAAAAACTGTTTCTATAAGAACACATGGGAGAGAGCAAGCAAGGGAACCTGTTGTTGGTTCTCACTGCCCCCTGCTGCTGCAGGGACCCCAATAAAGCCCTGCCTGAAAAAAAAATAAGAACACATGGTCAAGATATTACACATTCTTGATTTGACAGAAATTTTATATGCAGTAAAATACAAAATGCATTTTTGGTTGTGTTGCTACATTTAAACATGAATGTTGTTCAACTAAGTGAAGCATAATTCAGAAATCCAAAATTTTCCTGGGAACCTGTTTTAAAACAGTTAAAAACTAAAAAATTACAAATAATTAAAACTATAACAAAAGTTAATATTTACTTATATAACTTATTATCTGTATACCCATAATAAAAGTTACCACCTTAGTTTTGCTAAGAGCAATTTTCAGCAAAAATGATCTATTTTAGATAGCTACAATTTCCTCATATTTTTCCATTATTATTTTAAAAGTAAAGAAACAGAGCTAAACTAGTGAAATATACTTCATGATTAGCACAAATGAGAAAATCTGGGACAGCCCATATCTCAATATTCTTTTATAGAGGGAATAGTCTTGACATATTTAAAATTAATTTAAGTATGCACTTTATTTGTGGAAGCTTAAACATAACTTGAACACACTTAAAAAAAAAAGACAAAACCAAACTCATTTCTATAACCCATTCAAAGAGACTTATTCAAATACATATTTAAATAATGGGCTGGTTAAAAAAAAAAGGTTAAAAAAAGAAAAACAAATTTTCGATAGAGAAGTTCACAAAAAAATAGTACTAATCAATCCTCAAAGGTAATTTTTTTCCCCTGAAACACAGCAATTTTGGATTGCTGTTCTTTTCGCCTCCGGCTTGCTTCCCATGAAGGATGAAGAGGCAGCTGTGATTTCTGTTTTGTATTTTCAGGTCCTCTTCGTGCACTCTTATTAAACTGATTATTGATCTGAGGTTCAATTTGCTGAAAATCTGGAGGAGAAAGCAAAATTAATGAAAACTAAGTCTATACATAAATAGCATAGAAAACAAATACATTTTATCTTCTCAAGTCAGTGTTTAAGGAAGAAATTTAGTTTTACTTAAATGGAATACCTCAGTCCAGACAACATATAAGGCAAAAAAATTTAAAAAGGAAGGACATTTTGTATTTTTAAAGGAATATGATTCATTATCATATGACACCTGTGTGTGGAGCAATGTAGCCAGAAAATTCACATGTTTTAACTAAAATATTGAATCCAACAGTGTTGATGGGTGAGCTTTTTAAAGGGCTGTTAACTGATTCCACTCCCTTGTTATTGAACAAAAAGTTATGATTGCAAGGTAAACTGCCGTATCTGCTCAAATTTAAGACTAAGTTCTTTTTTAACCATAAAGTTATCCACCAGATATGAGGGTGGCAACTTGTATTCTAGTCCTTACAACCTCTTTTATTATGAGAAACTTCAATTATATTATTTTGAACGAAGTACTGGGAGACTTGCTAGCCTGAAAAGACTGAATCAATGCATATTTATAGAATCAGAAAGAAAAAGAGAGGCAAAAAATTTAATACAGATTTATTAATCAGTCCTAGGGGTGTATAATTTCTCCACTGCAAGTTAGCCATCATTGTCAGAAGCCTTTTAAAGATCTTAAAAAAGCAAATGTCATAATGTTATACAAGCAAGTGTACAGTTGGGATAACATTTCCAAAACATCACTGCACACAGATTCAAAATGTCCCATACTTGTACAAATCACATGTGCTCTAGAAATCTATAATACTCAAAGAATGCCTCTAGTGATAAAGAGTGATGAATTTAAATGTTAAATGAAACTGTTTCATGTAAACTAACATTTGAATAAGGCACTATTTATAAACTGATATATATTTTACATAATTATGTAAAGCATATTTGCATGAGCAAACAAATGAATAAATTAAGTATTATAAATTTATAAACTAAAAACAAAAACATGTTTTACTTGGGTTTCCTCATCGGGAAAATGTGGGAGTGTCTTAAATTTCTAGTTATTCTGTATTTGTGAATATAAGGCCATGTATTTGTCAAACCTAGTATTTTAATACAGCCATTAAAATAACATAAAAATTTGGCATGGGCTTTGCAGTTCAGTGGAGGGTAGTAAGGAAACGGATACCTGAGGCTGAAAAGTGAGCATCCTACGTATATGTTAAGGAAAAGATAAAACTGTTGCCAGTGAAAACTTGGGAAGTAGGCTACATGCCTATGGAATTGCAGCACAAGGGTAAGTGGCTGGAAAGAATAAAAAGATTAGTGTACCGATGGCTCTTTGGCAAAGTATTACACAAAAAAAGAGAAAAGTTCAGGAAAGAACCGGCCAGCTCACAAGCAGAATCAAAAGGGAAGAGAGGGTTCAGATATCTGGGACCTTAAGGTTTAGAAAAGCCTTTGGACTCCTAACAGTAAGAGATAACACTGAGAAAGATTTTAAGCAGTAAAGGTCCAAAGAGATTTAGCTCTGGAGCAGAGATAAGAGTAAAGGTATGGCCGTCTCAACCAAACCTGAGAATCTGAATGCAACAGACACTGAATGATTGGGACAGTGATTGGCAGAGGGAGGGGGTGGGGAACGACCCACTAACATAAATAAGGCAAGTTTGAAAAATAGCTCTAGGAAAGAATTTTTGGTGTGGTGGCTAGCTCATTGATGGACTGACTGGAAATAAAGAGGTCAGAAATCCAGGAAGTTTTGGAGGGAATTTTTATTGTGAAAGAAATCACAAACCTAGGCTGGAAAAAACCTGACTGTTAAGACTTTAAACCATCTTCACGATCATATATTTTTACTAATCACTTGGGGCAACTCCCAAGAAGATCATACTAACTGTCTACTTCAGCTGTGGCCACGGAACAAAGACCCTCCCAAGAACACAGTCAGAGACCATGGAGAACAGTAGATAAGAAAATTCCTCATAGATTCTTCACAATCTTTGCTCAGGTAGTAGACATGTTGCACACCTCCCATGTTTCCCTAAACTGACTGAGAGTTTTTATTGTGGTTACCTTGTTCCTGCTCTGCCACTAAATATCCGGTCTGAGTTGTGGGCAGGCAGTCTGTCTTTTTAGTGCACAGGTCACCAAATTTTGAGCAGTCACATCATGAGATCTGATGGAAAGCACTGCATCATTACTCAGGGATTCTAGGCTTTCAATTGGATACAATGACTGGATGGGACTTTGGGTTGGCTTTCTCAGGAAGGAAGCACATAGTGTGCTCTGTGTGTTGAGAAATTACCAGAGAAAATTACCAGTGAAATTACCATCTGATGATCAAAAGGATGGTCAGCAGCAGACAGTTATATGTTCAAGAAATTCCATTTTCTTTTTCCACCTAGCCGCATAGTTAGACTGCATTTCTTAGCTCCCTTTTGCCTAGGATGGGGTCATGTAACTAAATTCTGGCTAATGAAATGTGAGCAGAACTGATCCTTAACACTTTCAGGCCTGGCCCATGAAAACTTCTTACAAAATTCTCCATGTACTCTATTCCCTTTTGTTGGTCAAATGGAGAATACCTGGGAACAGGAGTAGAAAGGAGGCAAAAGATGGAAGGAGCCTGATCCTTGAATGACTATGTGAAACACAGCCCCTGTGCTGATTCATAGTAGACTGTAATGTAAGAAATAAATTTTTATTATTTTAAATCAGTTTGAGAGTTTGGGATTATGTAGAGAAGTCAGACCACCCAAATATATTAAATTGATTTGTTACAAATTAATCTGAAAATCTGGTTTCACTCTTAACCCTGGAAGTAACATACTTATTACTGAATGTTTAATGGCATGGTGTTGACTAAGATGGAACTTACATAGCAATTTACTTAAAGAATATGTTGATTAGTTCAAGATAAATTAAATAGACCCAATATTTCCTGATAACTTTTATCTAACATATTTCCTATTGGCAGGACATAGAGGGTAAAAAAAAAAAATTTAAATTTAAAAATTATTCTGATAATTATAAGATGCTCTATTTCCATTTCTGTGGGTACATAATTGATTCAGGCTACTAAGCAACCAGAATTTTTCATCTTTCCTCTTTGGCAAAGCATTGCTCAACTGCATATGGAAGTCAGGCAGTCATTAATACATACCTGGGGTTTTGCTTCTTGGAGCCTGTTCTCTGTAATTTCTAAAAGAAGAAAAACACCATTAGGACATTTAAAAGATAAGCAAATCCTCTGACTTTAAGAAGATAACATAATAAAAATGTTGATAAAACTCATTAAATAAAACTATCATACTCCTTTACCCCCCCAGAAATGAATAAAAAAATTATGAAAACCTCATGTTTTAGCTACATCAAAGGTTTGTTAGACCCCAATATTACTATAGAAAAATGTAGGAATTTTCCTCTCACGACCTGTATAGGGATTTCTGGCCATAAAATATCCTGTCTTGGTTACCTTGTACCTTTGAGAACTATCTAGACAAAGAATTTCAAAAATCTTACAGGGGGAATGAGTCACATATAACAATCACATATAACTAAGATTAACTTTTTTTTGGGAGAGGGAAGGGATAGTGGTGCTTAATTTTCAAGTGAGGGAAAAACTGTAGCTTTTTTAGGCACAGTTGGGAGATATATGAAATAATGTAATAATTTTCAAGGCTCCAAAGATGGTTTGTGTGTCTTTTCCATACTCTGACTTTTTTGGAAAATTTCAACATCACATTTTTCTATTCTACTAAAAATTATGCCTGACCTATAAATTATAGAAAAAGTTTACTGAAGAAAATAGCTATTCATGATTTTTATTCTATAATGTGAAGATATCCCCTACCAGATTAGAATTACAAATGAAATTAAACTTATTGATTTATAACAAAACAGCTGTGAAAAGTAGTGATTAACAGAAGGGATAAGGATGACAGCATCACCAAATATAAAGCAGTCTGGAGAAACTCAGTGTTAGGGCAAGCAGCCTTATCTACTGAAACAGAAAAACATAAAACAATTGAGTTTTACAATAATGCCCTGGGTCAACAAGAGAAAAAAAAAAAACAAAACACATTCTTTTCAGAAAGTTCTGTTTAAAAAGTGAGATATGTAAGAAACTTTCAAAAGTTTTCACCAAAAGCTAACTCAAAGTTTCAAAACTTTGATAATCAAAGGAATAAACTTAAATTAGCTAGACAATTAGACAAATTTATCTATATTGTCTCATTTTCTGATGAGGTTGGAAAAATGTAGCATTATCATATGTGTATTTGTATATATTATCCAATATAAAGTTGGAGAGGGCCAAGTCTAAACACAGGATGTATTGTACAAACTAGAATTATGTATGTGAGATAGTATCTCAATGTTAGGATGTGTGGTTATTTCATATCTTTCGAAAAATTAAGAACTAATAATTCTTTCAGGATGAAAAAATACCCTTACCTTCCAGAGCTTTTAGATCCAGATAAAGAATGGAAAAACACTGATTCAAACTTCCTTGCTTCTGTACGTGGCTTGTTTTTATCACTTCTCATATCCTGATGGGTTTCAAGTATATCTTCTTCAGGCAACAATTTTTTGGGGGGGTTTTGTTCCTTAACTGAAAAATGACAACTACTTTCCTTCTTCCGTGTCCGTTTGACTTTCCCAATGAAGAAGTCATCACCACTATCACTATCCTCAGACATGGAAGACTGTTGGTAAAACCTTTCTTCTGTGCTATCATCAAAATATTCCTTCTCTTCTTCATGTAATTCTTCTCCATCACTGTTAACACCAAGTGAGCTACTGGACTCTTTCTCTTTTTTGGTTTGACTAAATGTTTTCATTTTGGGGTCAGTAGGTGTCTTCTGGGGTTCAGAGGGTACTGCAGAATCTTTTTCAGAAGGCTTTGATAGAGAATTTGGAATGTCCACTGTTTTGGGTCCATGCTCCATCTTGGCTATTTTTTCTTTTGAATTATTTATTGGTTTCTTTGCCAATATTTTGGCTTCTTTCTCTTCTTGCTCACTGATAATAGTTCCTTCATGCTGTAACTTACTGGCATCATCATTTGAACACATAGTGTCCTTGGAATGATTTTCTTCTGAAGCATTCTTTGATGACTTAACTTCAACAACATTTTGTCTTGCATCTTTAAAGGCTTTGACAGCAGCTGCAAGAGAAACAGGATATGACTTGTTTCAGCATTGAAACAAATAATACAAAACGTTACTGTTTTAGTACAGTATTACAAAACGTTACTGTTTTAGTACAGTATTTCTTAAATTATTTGGAAATACTTAAGAGAATGATTGGAATTTACATTACATATATATAATGGGTATGAATTTACAAAAAAATCTATTGACTTTTACAAAACCAAACATATACAAAATGCTCAGAGGTATCCATTTTAAATATCTAAAATTAAAAGAATATTTATTCCTTCATGTATGGATGTTAAGAAGAACAGTAAAAACTTCACTAAATACAAATAAAAAGACTAAAATGACAACTTTAATTTCTGTAATAATAATGTATTAATACAATTGTAAATACCATAAATTGTGCTTTCAGACATAAAAATAAGTATCTTCTAATCTGTGACAGAAACATTGAATTCTTTTAATACATTTTTTTCGTGGTACACGGGCCTCTCACTGTTGTGGCCTCTCCCGTTGAGGAGCACAGGCTCCAGACGCGCAGGTTCAGCGGCCATGGCCCACGGGCCCGGCCGCTCCGCGGCATGTGGGATCCTCCCGGACCGGGGCACGAACCCGTGTCCCCTGCATCGGCAGGTGGACTCTCAACCACTGCGCCACCAGGGAAGCCCCTTTCAATACATTTTAAAATGTACATACATAAATAGAAATTATGTGACTAAGTGGCAACATCATAAGTAATAATATGAATTATACCAATATTTAGAAAATCAATTGTATTCAATATTATCATGAATATATATTTTAGAAATTTAGGAAATAGGAATTTAGAAAAAATAAAAAATTTTTTCAGACATCAGATAACTTCCATATTTTCAGGTAGCTTCCCACATTTGGAAATATTTGAAAGAGACATTTATAATATAAAAGATCCTCAAAAGGAGAAAAGCACCCTAAAAGTAAATAAATGAATGGCTGTTTATTCAAATCATGTACCATAAACGGCTTAAAAGTCATTTAATTCATACCTTTTAGCACATCTATTTTTTTCTTCAGAAGAGGGTGCACTGCTAGTCTGGCAACTGCTCTTTCAGTTGCAGTAGAATCAGGCTGCAAATTGAAATAACAAGCACATGCGAATAAAAACTATGTAACACTACTAAGAAGTGAATAAAATGCAATCCATTGTAATTTTTAAAAGTTAAGAGTTAGGGAACAGGAATCTGTTAATATTCTACTTAGACAATTCACCTGTAATCCATGCTAAAGATAACACAGTGACAAAAATACTACTGTTCTTAACAGTTAAAATTATCATGTAATCAATGAATAAATATTCTTTGGGTACTTAATATCTTCCCAGAATTGTGGTAGGCATCGTGTGTGATATTAAAAAAAAAAGTAATATAGCTCCTGTATTCAAAGAGTTTAAAAGATCTAGTTAAGAAGACTAAAATAATATGAAAGAATCAAGTAACATATTAGTACTAAGCTGGGTGATATAATCCATGACTACTATAATGCTTGAAGTTCCATTTACTAGAGACCTAAAAATTATCAAATGCTATATATTTTTATTTGGAATGACTAGTACATTACTGTATTCTCACAACCTTCCACCAGTGCCTGGCTTATAGCCAACACTTTATAGATGTTTGATGATGACTGAATGGGACTATATACATATATATATATATATATATATATATATATATATACACATATATATATACATACATACATTAGTATTTATACATTTAGAAAATTCATAATTCAGACTAACTGCTTTAAATATCACCTATAGGCTGAAAACTTCCAAATTTCTACCTCAAGCTCTAACTTGAGTTCCAGACTCACATATCCAACCACCTACTTGACATGTTAAAAGAGAATGCTGTGACTTTCTTCTTAAACCTACTTCTGCTATAGTCTTTCCCATCTTATTGTAGGTAATTTTAATTTTTCTGGTTGCTCAGGCCTAAAACTCAAATGATTCTTCCATTACATTTCTCCTTTCTTCACAGCTCACAATAAATCCTTCAGCAAATCCTGTGGTTTCATCTGCAAAATCTATCCAGAACCAGTCACTTACACCATTTCTACTTACTACCTTTGACCAAATCACCAATACCTCTCACCTGGACCAATGTAATAAGCTCACACCTGGTCATTCTCCATTGCCTCTTGTTCTCTCACAGTCAATTTCCATATAGCAGTCACAGCAAGCTTTTAAACAAAACCAGATCATGCTATTTCCCTATCTGTTCTTTTTAAAGCTTTACTGCCTTCTGATGCTTAGGCTCTTCCTTTGCAAGCTCTTCTCTACTTGGAATACTCTACTCCCAAATACACACGGGCTGATCATCTCATTGTATTCAGGTCTCTGCTCAAATGTTATCTGAACTAAAACACTTTCCATCACTATTTACTTCACATCACTCAACACAGCACGCCAGTGCAGATATTTTCATATCTGTGAGGCAGGGACTTATGTCTTCCACATTCCTGTAGACCTAGTGCCTAGGACAATAACTGATAATAGTTGGCATTCAATAAATATTCCATGAAGCAAGTAAAAATTTCACTAGTGTGTGAAAGTAGAGTTATCAGCTTTAAACATCTTTACCCTTCATTGTTAACAGCCCAATAAGGCCTTTTCCTTCCCAGTAATAAACACTTATGAGTACCTAAGTAAAAGCAAGATGATAACAGTTTGAAATCTATTGTTTGGAGAACTTATCTAGGTAGAGTCCCTCAGAGAACAACTCCTTTAAATTAGACCTGGTGCAAATCCTGTGCCAGGATGACTTGCTGCCTAATTACCTTCTGTCCTGGGTCACATGGTATCCTCCCCGAATTTTATATCCAACCAGAAACTGAGAATGTGATCCTACTTGGAAACAAGGTCACTGCAGATATAATTAATTAATTAATTATTTGCTAGCTGTATTTAATTAATTCATATCTGTTCTTGATGGTCTGTTACTGACTTGCAAATCTGAGTAGCTCATGATTTGGGGAGTAGAAAAAATATTCTAATGGGGAAAAAACAGTGCAAATGGAAAAACTGTTAATGACATACACATTAGTAATATGCTTTATAAATACTCAGGGTTTAAATTTTCATTCTTTAAGACGAATAAAAGATGTTATACATGTACATGCATACCTTGTTTTATTGTGCTTTGTTTTATTGCACTTCACAGATATTATGTTTTTTTTTACAAAATGAACGTTTGTAGCAACCCTGTGTCTATCAAGTCTATTGGCACCATTCTTCCAATAGCATTTGCTCACTTTGTGTCTCTGTATCACATTTTGGTAATTCCTGCAATATTTCAACTTTTTCATTATTATTATATTTGTTATGGCAATCTGTGACCACTGATCTTTGATGTTACTACTGTAATTGTTTGGGATGCCAAAAACCATGCTAATATAAGAAAACAAACAACTGATGTTCTGACTGCTCCACTGAACACTGAGATGTTCCCCTGTCTCTCTCTCTCTTTGGGCCTTCCTATTCCCTGAGACGAAACAATATTGAAATTAGGCCAGTTAATAACCCTACAATGGCCTGTAAGTATTCATGTGAATGGAAGAGTCACATGTCTCTAACTTTAAATCAAAAGCTAGAAAGGACTAAGCTTAGTGGGGAAGGTATGCTGAAAGCCAAGACAGGCTGAATGCTAGGCCTTTTGCCCCAGACAGTTAGCCAAGATGTAAATGCAAAGGAAAAGTTCTTGAAGGAAACTAAAAGGGCTACTCCAGTGAACACACAAATGATTAGAAAGCAAAACAGCCTCACTGCTGATAACACAGAAAGTTTTAGTGGTCTAGATAGAAGACTAAACCAAGCCACAACATTTCCTTAAACCAAAACCTAATCCAGAGCAAGACCCTAACTCTCTTCAGCTCTTTGAAGGCTGAAAGAGGTGAGGAAGCTGCAGAAGGAAAGCTAGCAGAGTTTGGTTCATGAGGTTTAAGGACAGAAGCTGTCTCCACAACATCAAAGTGCAAGGTAAAGAAGCAAGTGCTGATGTAGAAGCTGTAGCATATTATCCAGAAGATTTGGCTAAGATAAACAATGCAGGTGGCCACACTAAACAACAGATTTTCGACATAGAAACAGCCTTTTTCGGAAGAAGATGCCTTTTACAGCTAGAAAGGAGAAGTTAATGCCTGTTTTCAAAGGACAGGCTGACAACTCTTGTTAGAAGCCAACGCAGCTGGTGACTGAAGCTAAAACCAGTGTTCATTTACCACTCCGAAAATCCTAGGGCCCTTGAGAATTATGCTAAATCTACTCTGCCCAGGCTCTCTAAATGGAACAGTAAAGTCTGGAGACAGCCCATCTGTTTATTACAGGGCTTAATGAATTGAATATTTTAAGCTCATTGTTGAGACTTACTGCTCAGAGAAAAAGATTCCTTTCAAAATATTACTGCTCATTGACAATGCACCTGGTCATCAGGGCTCTGATGGAGGGGTATGACGAGATTCATGTTGTTCTCATGCCTCCTATCACAACACACATTCTGCAGCCCCATGGATCGAAGAGTCGTTTCACCTTTCAAGTCTTCTTTAAGAAATACACTTCATAAGGCTATAGTTGTCATAGCTAGCGATTCCTCCTATGGAACTAGGCAAAGTAAGTTGAAAACCTTCTGGAAAGGATTCACCATTCTACATGCCATTAAAAACATTCATGATTCATGGGAAAAGGTCAAAATAGCAGCAGTAACAGGAGTTTGGAAGAAGTTGATTCTAACCCTCATGAATGACTTTGAGAGGTTCAAGACTTCAGTGAAGGAAGTAACTGCAGATGTGGTGAAACCACCAAGAGAACTAGAATTGGAAGTGAAGATGTGACTGAATTGTTGCAATCTCATGATAAAAGTTGAATATATGGGGATTGCTTCTTATGGATGAGCAAAGAAAGTGGTTCCTGAGATGGAATCTACTCCTGGTGCAGATGCTGTGAAGACTGCTGAAATGACCACAAAGGACTTAGAATATTATATAAACTTAGTTGATAAAACAGCAGCAGTGTTTGAGAGGACTGACACCAATTTTGAAAGAAGTTCTATTGTGGGTAAAATGCTATCAAACAGCACTGCCTGCTACAGAGAAATTGTTTCTGAAAGGAAGAGGCAATCGATGCAGCACACTTCACTGTTGTCTTATTTTAAGAAATCACCACAGCCACCCAAACTTCAGCAACCACCACCCTGATCAGTCAGCAGCCATCAACTTCAAGGCAAAACCCTCCAGCAGCAAAAAGAATACAACTTGCTGAAGACTCATGATGGTTAGCACTTCTTGGCAATGAAGTATTTTTAAATTAAGGTACGTATATTTTTTTAGACATAATGCTATTGCACACTTAATAGTCTACAGTACAGTGTAAACATAACTTTTATATGCACTGAGAAACCAAAAATTTGTCACTTGCTTTATTGCGGTTATTTGATTTACTGAGGTGGTCTGAAATTGAGCCCCCGTTATCTCTGAGGTATGCCTGTAGTTCTTAAAATGTTTGATTTAGAAAAAGTTTTAGTTAAAAATACCAAATTTTATAAATTACAGCAATCATTTAAATAAATGTTTAAATTTCTCTAATAAAAATTTGTCAAATTTAACACTTTAAACCTTTCTTTAATTTTATTCTTAAGAAAGCAATTAGAAATCATTCATTTAATTTTTTAAGTTCAAATTTTAACAAGAGGTTAGAGGTAAAGGGAATATAGACCAAAGATTTTATCTAACAATTAGACTAACAGTATTGACTTGATTTCAAGACCACTTAGCCAGTTAGGAACAAGCTAGAATTCAAAGTCAGGTTTCTGAATTCAGTCTAGTATTCTCAACAAGTTTTCTTCTAAACTATTCAAGATAACTTTCCCTCATTTTGTGACCCAACTCCAAGCCTCCCTCAAATCTTTTTGTAAAGAAATTAAATATAAACATAAGAAAAGAGGCTTGTTAATCAAGAGGGCTCAGGTTTTTACCGTTGGCAGTGTTTTGGGTCTCTGCTGCAATGCGAGATGTCTACATTTTGCTTAAGCCACTGAGCTTAAGTGTAGGAACTCACAAGAGTCAGTACAACAGTCCCTATCATGAGGGACTTCAAATTCTTTATCCTTGGGCTTCCCTGGTGGCACAGTGGTTGAGAGTCCGCCTGCCGAAGCAGGGGACATGGGTTCGTGCCCCGGTCCAGGAATATCCCACATGCCATGGAGCGGCTGGGCCCGTGAGCCATGGCCGCTGAGCCTGCATGTCCGGAGCCTGTGCTCCGCAATGGGAGAGGCCACAGCAATGAGAGGCCAGCGTAAAAAAATTCTTTATCCTTCCTTACTTCTTTCCTGTCCATCTTCCTTCCTCACTTAGTTTCTCCCTCTTTATATTTACAGATATTTATATTTACATAAATATGCATTATGTGAAGGCACAGTCTTACACATAAGGACACAAACACCATCTTTTGAGGTTCATGATCTTGCACTAATTTAAAAGGTTACAACAAATGCACAAATAACTAACCCAAGGTAGAATGTGATAAACTTCATAGGAGAGACTGAAAATGTGGAGGTTTATAAAAGAATTCAAATACAGCCATACTTCTTAAATTTAAATAAAATTATTTTGAAGCTTAAAAGGCTAAGTAATCGCTATTAACAAATAGTTTTTACACATGCATGAAACAATCTTCACAATACTGGGGGATATGAAGGAAACCACAGCTTTCATTACTTGAAGTTGACACAGTGTTTGCCTTGGAAAATTCTCAGGAAACTGTGGTTTTCATACACCTCCAGTTTCTTCCATTTCAAATAAATTAAATTAAAAAAGGAAAACACCTCACTTTTTAATGGACACATTTTATTTTGGCATATGGGTATTTACTGTGAACACAAAGTATTTGGTGTTCAATTTTGAAAAGAATTTTGAGAATGTACATGTAAATATAAATAAGGGTCTAAAAATGAAAAAGCTCTCTTACACACCATGTTCATTCCTTTGAAATGTTGCCTTAAAACAAACTGACGCTAAATGAACTAGTACAGGTAGAATGCTAGTAAGATACTTTTATCATTAACTGGACTTAAATTCAGTTCCAGGTTTTACCTAATGATATAAACCAACACATTCATATTTGTATTTATTAAAAACATTTAGAGATATAATAAGAAACAGTCTATTCAGCTGGATCAGAAGAACTGTGGCAAACAAAGCAAAATATGGCTTAGAGTCCACATTTATAAGAGAATGGGAGACTTTTCTGTATTCAATGAACTCTTAAAATCCCTACAACACCATGATTTCCAAAATGCAGTCTTACACATATGGAACTTATTCCATCCTTTTGTCCTAAACTTTCATTTTGTAGGCAGAGACCTGGGTTTAGAACTTGGATCTGACATTTCCTACTGACTACCTATGACCATCGGTATATTTTACCTTTCTGGGCCCGTTGTCTCATCCGTTAAATGAGATTATCATCATCTTCCCTGAGAAAGCTAACGTGTATAAAGCATCTAACAAGTCAGGCAACTGGTAGATGTTAACAAATATTAATTTGCTTCCTCTCATCCTGTAGCTGTTTAATGTAACTGTGTTCTATTTCCTTCCTTTTTTCCATAGTGCTTAGCTGATTGCTCTGCATATAACAGATGTTTTGAATTGAGAAGCCCTTGAAATTCTGGCAATAATTGTCTGGAAATGTCACAGTTCTAGTCCCCAAACTCTCTAGCTTTAAAACTCTCGTACAAATATTAACTGGCTACTTAATCTTTCTAACCCCTTTCTAAATTTGGAAAATGAAGACACTACTAGTATTACTACACACACATGTACACACATGCATGTGCACACATGAATGTTTTCCATATGAGATCATTGTTGTAAGATCAATTGAGGTAATAATGTATATGGAAGAACTGTGCAAGCTCTAAGAAGTTACACAAATTAGTTTGTTCTGCTCTATTCTGATGGTCAGACAGCTTCAAATGTACAGAGCTCTATATAATAGCCTTATTTCCTCTTTGGTCATCTTTCACTAACCACCCTTCCTATGGCAAACTAATCAGTCTTCTCTCCATGACACTGCTACTTGCCTCATTTTTATTCCAGAGGTTTAATTTATTAACATATTTTGATACAGAACATGAATCCAATCAAAGAATACCACAAATGACATAAAACAAAGCAAAGTAGTTGAAATCAAATAGCTTGGGAGGAATCTGAAATCATTTTAAGCAAGGCAATTTCCCTTGGCTCTAAATCCTCAAGGGTTCCATCAAGAACTCTGATGAAACAGAACTGTTTTCCTTTTCTCCTTCTCCACCTCCCTTTCCTTCCTTCTGTTTGGAGGAAGATACCAAAAGGGCAGAAATGCAATCAGGTTTTGCTTGACAATATTTCAGTTAGATCCTAAACTTTCTATGTGAATATTATAAATCTCATGACTACAAATATAGTAATATGCAAATGAATTTACTATTACAAAATAAAAATGGATAAGCGAATATAGACACATTTCCCCATTTTTAGGATGACATTTTACACAATGGAAGGTTTAACAAAGGGTTGTAAATGAAAGAAGATACCCTAAAAAAACCTGATGCTACAAATATTACACACACATCAACTAATAGTAACCTTCCAAAGTGAAAAAAATCTGACTGAAAAGTTAAAAAAAAAAAAAAGACAAAGGATATTTTATTTTGGATATTTCAAGTTAAAATTAAATAATATTGTCAAGTTTTAGTGTTGAAATTTAAATGGAAACATAGTATTAGCCAACTAAAAATAAATTGCTTTTTATTCTCATCACAAATTAAATATTATTGAAATACTTTTAGAATGCAGCAACCAGAAAATTCAAAAAATTTTTTCTGGTAAAAACCTTAAATTATTATTTTTTTAAACTCTCAAGAGAAAACAAATATGTTCTACCATATTTTTATACAACTACCACTATTGTATTTAACATCATTATTTTGTCAGAAATATAGACAGACCAAGACACAAGTTAAAAACTATACCAGAACTAAAATTTTTTCCTCTCTATGAATGAATGCTATAAAATAAGAATATTTACTGTAAAATCATGTTAGTATAAAATAAGGAAGCTGTTTGTAAAATTATGCTCATGACTTTGGTGTTGCCTTCCTGACAAGGACTGTGACAACAAATCTTCCCTCCCCTGAAACATACAAAAACTTTCATGTTCTGGCCTTCTTACAATAAAATGCTTTAAAATTTAACATGGCTAAAATCAGTGAATTGCAGAGAGGTGAGTGCTAGTGTACATAAATGTAGAATCAGAGTATTTTTTTCCTTAAGGCTGGAATAGGAAAATTGACATTTACAGTTGGAGATTCCAACACACGTCTCTTAGTCAACAATAAAACAAGTAGGTAGAAAGTCAGTAAAGATGTAAATCACCTGAACAACACCATCAATCAGTTGGACCTAAATAACATTTATAGGACACTGATCCCAAAATAATAATATTGTTTTCAGGTGCACATGAAATATTCACCAAGATAAGCCATACTCTAGACAAATAATAAAGTTAAAAGAATAAAAATCATAAAGAGTATGCATATGGATCATAAAGAAAACTAATGAAAAGATACCTGGAAACCCCCAATTGTTCAGAAATTAAACAACGTACTTCTAATTAAACCATAGGTTAAAGGTGAAATTTCAAGGGAAATTTAAAACATTTTAAACTCAAAGAAAATAAAATATATCATATTTATAAGATGTAGCTAAAGCAGTGCTTAGAGGGATATTTATAGCATTAAATGCTTATATTAGGAAAAAAGAAAGGTCTAAATCAGTAATTTAAGCTTCCACGTTAAGAAACTAGAGAAAGAGCAAAGTAAGCACAAATTCAAGAGGAAGAAATAATACAGATTAGAGCAAATGTGAATAAAAGTGAAAAAAGAAATGTAATAGAGTTATAAAAATTAATCAATCCAAAAATCTGTTCTCTGGTGGAACTGTCACATAGCCTTTAGCAAAGTGGGTAGAAATAAAAAAGAGGAAATACTAAGGATGAAGCAAGTGACGCAAATGCAAGGAGCAGAAGATCTGGGTAAAAGTCCTAACTGTGCACCCTAAGAGTGGCATACCCTTAATTAGCTCACTTTATTCTTTCTGAGCTTCAGTTTCCTTACTTACAAAAAGGGGGTAAAAATAATTTTCATAGGGTAAATGCAGGGATTAAATAAAATATTCATAAAAACTATTTAGAAAGAATAAAAATAAAGAGTCTTTATTCTAATTTGTAAGATTAACAGACTAACTGCTATATAACACACAAATGCCACATTAACTTCAACATACCTTTAAGGTCCTTGAGGGTGTGGTATCACAGCAAAGCAAAATTCATAAATTACCATAAAAATAATTTTTGGTGGCAGTAGTAGAGCTCAAATGGGGAAAAATCATTGTACACTAATAGTAACTGGCAGGTGACTGATTGACTGATTGATTGATTTTTTAGTAACTGGCTTTTGGTAAGTTTTCTCTTCAAGGAAAAAAGTGAAAGGAAAAAAGTAGGTCAACAATACAAATAAGGAACTTTTCCTAAAAGAAATACAACCCCTGGCAGAAGTACCTTTTTGCAGATTTTTTCAAAGTTGATATCATCACCAAGAGCAGATTTAGTTACTATATCAGGTTTCAACTCCTGTAAAAGAATAAAACAAACTAATTTTAGTTATGAGCCTTATTTTAAACTGTCATTATTATATGAGAAATTCCTTCCCATGTTGTGCTTTTAAGAAATCCATTATTTAAAGAAACTACTACTTATTTTAATGACATTTCAGGACATTGGCAATTCTATCAATTTAAAAAGAAATGTAGAGATTTACAGAGAAACACATATATATATATATATATTTTTCGGTACGCGGGCCTCTCAGCGTTGTGGCCTCTCCCGGTGCGGAGCAGAGGCTCCAGACGCGCAGGCTCAGCGGCCATGGCTCACGGGCCCAGCTGCTCCACGGCAAATCTGGGCTTCCCTGGTGGCGCGGTGGTTGAGAGTCCGCCTGCCGATGCAGGGGACACGAGTTCGTGTCCCGGTCCGGGAAGATCCTACATGCCGTGGAGTGGCTGGGCCCGTGAGCCATGGCCGCTGAGCCTGCACGTCCGGAGCCTCTGCTCCGTACCGGGAGAGGCCACAACACTGAGAGGCCCGTGTACCGAAAAAAAAAAAAAAAAATCTAACCCACAAAACACTTTTCTATTATGGAAGGAATTAATCCACATTTATTTTAGAAAGTTAAAAAACACAGAAAAACAGAAAGAAAAATAAGTAAAATTACCAGTAATGTTTACATGGTTATAATTTTATTATACACCCTTCTACAAGCTTCTTTAAAAGAATTTAAGTTTGATATGCATTCCACTAAGGGAATGAAGGATGACTTTAGATCATATGAAAATGCAATTTTTCTACATTAATAGTTATCAAGTTATTCTAATACGCATAAAAAAATGAACTTTTTTTATTATTGTCTAGAAGAAAGCTAAATAGAAAAATCAGTTGATTTTAAAACAACACTGAGTGACAGTAAGGTGGATATGTGATGTGACAAAACTGCAAACATTAAATGAAAATGATATTTAAATTATACTTTAAACAAAAACAGGACCATAGTATTTTGTAAACTAGCTTTATTTAATAACAGGGCAAATGTCTATTTTTGGTTTTTTTGCTCTTATTTATTTAATCAAATTCTTATTACTGGACATTAATACATTTTCTGAGTTTTGATCTTTTTATAAATAAGAATGTGATGACTATCCTTGTACATACTGGTTTGTGTCTAACTCCTTCTGAAAAATTACCACAGATTCTATATTAAAGAGCTATATTGGAGTTTTGGAAGAAGAGTAGAATGGGAAAAAAGTATCAAATATTGATAATGATGATCCAATGTCAAAAAGATCAGAAAGCACTGTTTCTGAGAGTAAAAACTCAATTTCATTTTGTGTACACTAATATAAATGTGAAAAATGTGTACGTAAAACAAATCCATATAAAAAGTACATAAATGATGGACTCATTTTAAAATTGTATATGTGTGTATATATAAAAAAATTCATTATGTGACATATTTTGGCTGAAAATGTCTTTAAGTTTGATGAGCTAATTTAGGAGATGGCCTCCCTTAAGCAGTTTCAAGTTAATAAAGCTATTTAAATTATAGTTAAAAATCCAGATTTTAAGACTTGCCCCACGTTTGTCAATGACTGGCTATAAGCACCTTTCTTTACTCTGTAAGACAAAAATCAGCCTAAAGAGTGAATTGGTTAAATTTTATTGCTAAAATGAACTTAAGTAAGTGCAGATGGTAATGATACTACCTAAATCTCAACCCACCCACATATTCCCTCCAAAACAATAAATTCAACAAGGAGTACAAATAAAACCAAGCATGAACCGTGCCCTCAGCATTATTAGTAGATAAATACCTATAAGCAGAGAAACTAACACCAAATTCAACAGCTCTCACTGCTGCTATAAGCTTATGAATTTACAGAGCCAGAGAATGAAAGACTAAGACACTAGGAGGAAAAGAAGAGAGTGGAGTGAAGGACATGCATTAATGACAGACAAAAAGCTCCACAAGAAAGCAAAAAGTACTACAAAAGGTCAAAGTGTTGAACACAAGTCTCAGACTTGGTAATTCACAGCACTACAGAGAAGGGCGGGCTTGAAAGTGAGTGATTTTGAAGGCGACAGCCTCAAGAAGCACTGCTTTGAGGAGAATTAGATAAATAGGGGTCGTGCACTTCCCTTTAGGGATAACAGTGTAGGTAAAGGAAAGAAAGAGAAATTAAGGACCCTACAGAGACAAAAGAAAATACATGTAAACCAAGTCCTCCTTCTCTTTATCCACTAAAAAAATGTCACTTTGCCATACTGACATAAGGTGGGCCCTGTATAAGAAACGTCTACAGTTCAGAAAAGAAAAAAAAGTCAAATTCATATAAAATTAATTTAAGAAGAAAAAAGAAAACGTAAATCAAAATATTTTATCTGATTCTCTCCTAAAAACTAAACACCAAAAAGACAACTGTAACATAACCCTGCAAACTTCATTAGGGAGCCTCAAACAAGTAGTTGGGGCCTATAACAAAAAAACTTGCAAAATGAGAAATTAAAACACTGTAGAAGAGAAACAGGTAAAACACAGAAGTGCATCAACAGTTGATAAAGCTTAGGAAATAAAATGCAAGAAAAGAAAACCTATCTCAGAAAGAGAGAACAGATTTAAAGAAAAATTCAATAAGGAACACTGAAGAAAGGCAAGAAAACATTGAAGAAAGACAAGAAAATGAAAAAAAGATAAAGAAAAAGGACAGAAAGAAAATGGCAAAGGATAATCCCACATACATGTAATTGGAGTCTCTGAAGGAGAAAAACAATAGACAAAAGCCAGTACTTAAAACTATAGTCCTAAAACAACTTTCTGGAAAAAAACAACCAAAGAATTTAACAAAAGGGTTTACTATGTACCTAGCTTAAAGAGACCTGGAACAATCAATAATGAAACCCTATTCTGGTGAAACTATTAGACTTTAAAGACAAAGGAAAAAAATCTTCAGCGCTCGTGGCCAAAAAGATCAATTTAGTTATAAGGGTGAAAAAACTGAGCTGGTGTCAGATATCAAGAACAAAATAAAAATAAGTATGGAGCAGCATTTTCAGTATAAGCAAGTGTAAGCCAAGAATTTTACAGTCAAATAGCTCTAAAGAATCAGGTCTAGAAAAATTAGTTTTGAACTTGCAAAAATTCAGGAAATACAGTACACGTGTTTGTCCAGAGGAATCTTCTAGAGGAGGAGTTCAGCCAGCAAGAGATAATTTTGGTAAAAGAACTGATGGTGAGTATGTATCTGCAGAGCTAGAATTAAAAGAAACGTGGGGGCACAGGAGAAAGAATAACACATAAACTTTGTCCTCATGCTCAGAGCCTGTGAATAAGTTACCTTACATGGCCAAAGAGACTTTATTATGTATTTAAGTTAAGGATCCTAAAATGGGGATCCTGGATTACCCAGAGTGGGCCTAACGTAACCACAAGGCTCCTCCTAAGAGGGAAGCAGAAGGGTATGAGTTAGAGAAAGAGGAGAAAAAGGGAGAGATACTGAGGTACTGAGAACTAAAGATGCTGTGCTGTTGGCCTTGAAGACGGAGGAAGGGGCCATGAGTCAACGAACACAGGTGACCTCTAAAACCTGAAAGAGTCTCCACAAGGGATACAATTCTGTCGACATCTTGGTTTAAAACTTCTGACTCCCAGAACTGTAAGATAATAAATCTGTGTCGTTTTTAGCTGCTAAATTTGTGTTAACTTGTTACAACAGCACTAGAAAACTAATATACATACGTTTTATCTCCCACCAATCTTTATATTATAAAATAATTCATTACACCATATTATTTGAACAAGCACCATATACCATAAATAATGCCCAGAATTAGATACTTACCTTAAAACCATAAAAGTAAAATCTAGATGCATTTGGATGGCTTAAACTTTCCTTATCACCCCACTCATACTACAGTATTTTGGGTCAATTCATTTTTACCTTAATTTTAAATATAAACATATGTGTCATTAAAAGGGAATGCTATCTCCTATGACATAGTTCATATAAAATTTTTAAATGGTGCTTAAATAACAAAACTGTATGGACAGGAATGCTGTGCCATAACTAGAATTTTGGTTCAGAACTATCCTAATTAGACACTGAGGAATTTAATAAATCAAGCAGTTTATCAGACAATGCAAAAATTGCAATAAAATATATATTATGAAGTTATTCTTCCCTCCCTACACTTTTATTCAGAAGAGATCAGGAACTGCCTTTCAGAATAAGACTCTTTGATGTGTTATTCCAAATGGATAGACAGCACCTCAAATGTTAGTATTCCCTTCAGCATGTAAGACGAAATTTAACCCACAGCCTTTCTCAATCCTTCTAAGAGTCTGCTATGCAGTCTACTTGACAAGTTCATGGTAAACTGCCAGGACTTTCAAATCATCTCTTAATTGCTCCAAATTCTAAATTTATATACATTCTGACTCAGAATATCTAATACACATTTAAAGGAAGAAGTCTTAAACAACTATTCTCATTATTCTTGGATTGGACTTAGTAGTTCTCATGATAGGTTATAATTTAGCCACAAAATTTCATTTACTCATATTTTAAGAATAAATTACCCTTCAAACTGATTATGAAAGCCGGTTGCTACAGCAAAATTCACTAGGGTCTAATAGATCAGTAATATAAACTGCAGGGGATAGTGGGAATTTATTTTTTTTTTAAAGATCTGAAGTAATTCAGTTTTCAAAGAATGCCTTGGATGATGGATGTTTTACTGGATTTGCGGCTGCGGTACCTTACCTGACAATACATCTACTCTCTTCGTTATAAATGAATGGCTTCCCACAAGAGTTTGAAAAGCACGTAAGATTGCAAGCTTTGTGGATAAAACTCCAAAAAGCCCTCATTTAGGTAAAACGTAGAGAACTCTAAAAGACAAATGGTATTTAGAGGCTTGGACATGAAAGAGTTGCAACAATGCCAGGTTTCTGGCTAACTACTCAGAAGAGGAAGTAGTTGGAACCAGCTTGTTGGGAACACTTCTGCTTAAGCTAGCTTGAA